GAGCTAAAAAAATAACTACTGTGGAGCAGTAAGTTTTCAGTCTTTACATGGAATTAGGAAAGTCACAGGATAAGATATTTGGGTATGAACAGAAAAAAAGAAATATAAGTATGGAACAGGTGAAAATTAGAATTGCTTTCCCTTTCATAAAAAGAAGATAAGAAAAAAAAAAGATTCAAATTTCTGTATCCTTATCTAGGTTCTTCTGAAACCTTGCTCAGGCACAGTCCTGGGGAAGTCAGTCCAAAGTAACTGTATAAAAAGATACAAGATGATGCGTACTGGCAAGTCTATTGAATCAGCCAGTTCCACTGGATTTGAAATGAGAAAACTTTCCCTACCTCCCAGAAGGAGAAGGCCTAAGCAGCCTTTCTTTTCTCATACCATATGAGAATGGCAGATTTCTCAAACATGATAGAATAACAATTTAGTTGCACTCACAAGCTTTGTTTCAGTATTTGTTTTAAACAGAGAAGGAGGGATTCCAGAAATGCTGAAGAAAAGCCAGGTCCTGCATAAAGTGTTGCTACTGGAAAGAGGCCTCACTCTGCCGTGATGAAGCTGGGGACTGTACTGCCCAAATGTTGGAAAATACAACAGAAAGGACTTAAGTGATGTCTGACATGACAACAAATAAGGGTATGCATGATTTCTATTACAGTAAGTGAGTGCTGCTTTGTACACATCATCCCATGAAATTTATGAGATAAACCAGATATATGAAGTTTGTGTTTCATAGAAAGTACTCTGTGTCTGCTTGGCGTCAGTTGGGAGATACTGGAGCGATGAGTTAATACTCTGTATTTAGGTGACTTACTTGCTTCCCAAGTGACACAGTGGAACACATTTAGGGGCTCATTAAGTTTCCAGCCATTCCTAAACAGCAACAGGTGCTTGAGAAACGTTTCTCCAGCATGTCACAGACAGCTTCATCACTGTCTTGGAAATAACTGACTGCACTTGTGTTTCCTCCATAGCACCAACTGACAATGAGGAGAGAACGAAAAAGAACAGGAAGAACTCCCAAAACATCCGCATGTGCATAGTGAATGGGCCTAGAAAAGCAAGTAATAAAAGACCCTGCTGCATACTCTGAATTCAGATATGATACTTGCATGTCCCTCCAATGTTGCTGTTCATTCAGACTCCATGTATCACATTCAACCAAGCTCTAACAGGTTCCCGGGAACATTGATTAATTAATTGAAATGGCATTATAGGAAGCTGAAACTTTTCCAGTGATTAGTATTTATTAATCCTTTAAGTAGTTTAGCTACATGATCAAGCATACTGGACTGGATGCCTTGGAAGCTTATTCAACCATGAGCAGAAAGATTAGATGTAGCTAGAAAGATATGGTCCTGTGCCTAGTGTGGCATTTATATTTTCATATGCTGGTTTAGCATTGGTAAAAAGAGTGTGCAGTTACCTAAAACATGTCATAATATAGCCTGCCACTGTGGAGAGATTCATTCACAAGAAAGTAAATTTGCAGTTCAACTAACAGATTTAAAGAAAAGGAGACTTCAGTTCCTATCACAGTAGTCAAAGGGTGAATATTTAAGACCAGAAGAACTACATCCAAAAGTTTCCTATGCATAGAATATCCCTGTATCTTGATCTTTTGTTTACATGGAAGTACTAGAAGAAAGGAAATTCTTGCAAAATTAGGCAACATGGAGTCTTCTCTTGCCTATTCTCATCTGTCTTGAAGATGCCTGTGTGTATCAGTCCATCAACGTTCAACAATTCCAAAGCTGTTTAGAACAGAAAAGCTCTGTAAACACGATCCTCAGAAAACTAGTTTGTTCATCCAAAATCACTTGTGTGATTTGAGTTACTGTATATCAAATGGATATGAACTTTTTCTATTTATTTATCTAATTGCCAGAAAACATACTGTCCCCATTCCTTGACTACTTGGTCACCTGAACACAAGTTTAACCTATGCCCATTCATCTACAGGAATTAATGCATTTCAGATACACTCATCACCTAGGGCTAACCTTTCAAACCTGCTTGGGAAATGTGTTTTACCAATAACTCAGGGCAAAAGCCAGAAAACAAATAGAAATGTTAATTTCTAGAACATCGTAGGAAGACACAAATTTGGAGAAAATTCTGTAATTCCAATTATCTAAGACTGAAGAAAGATCAAATGGTGCAGTGAGAACCCTACAGGTTTTTAGCTGCAAGGGACCTCAAACAGAAAATTTTGTAGAAGACTTTTGAGTGTGCATGTGCATGCCTGTGTAATGTAACAGAAACTGAAGAGAACAACACTGCAGAAAACAAGAACAGTATCAAAATAATACCAGCAACACAAGAATATTTTGTTTTTCCTACTGGGAAAGAGATGAAATGGCCACTGCCTCGTATTGAACGCCACCACCTTCTCCTTCATGACCCTACTACCATTTTGCTTGAGTTGCCAAATGTCCATCTCACAAAGTTTGGAAATAGCCTGCAAAATCCCTGCTGACAGCTACTGTGCTGGCATGCAAATGAACAAGAACCCTGCAATCCATTTAAGTGTTAGAAAAAAACTTCTCTTATGGAAACTCCTTAAACGTTGTAACAAATTCTTAGATGTTGTAATGACACTGTGTGGGGTTTATACTACATCTGTTGCATTATGCCACCACTGCATATCACTATTAAGATAAAATAGCAAAGACATATCTTAGAGAGTTTTATAAAGTCCTGTTGGGAACAGACTCAGAAGCCCTGAAAAAAAATGTAACAAACAAGAAGGAACAGCCAGGAGGAAAAAAAAAAAAAAAAAAAAAAAAAAAAAAGACAGAAAAAAAAAAGAAAGTCACTGCTCCAAATAAGATTCCTTTTGATTTTGTGTGGTTACACCATGATATCACCAACATATTAGAAGTCCACACAATTGGATTTCCTGCATGCTCAAGTTTTTCATCCGGTTGCTGTTATTTCAAAGTAGCTTGCAATCAGTTTACTGGAAATTTGTTTCCCCATAAAATACCACTGAGGTTGTTCTTGGAAATTGATGAGAAGATTTAACATGGTGATAACATAAATTTTTGCTAAAACAGAGGGACACAAAAGGGGCTAAATTAGCGCTTTTTCTTTGCTGATGAGTGTTCACATTCCTAACTCCAGTCATACTCTGATTTCTGCTACCACTTCCCATGTCACAGACATTGTCTCTGTGACAGCAAAATCTAGGCTTTTTATCTACAGACTTCTTAATTAGAGTTTACAAATTACTTGAATCAAACAGCAACCATCCTGCAATCCTGATGTGACCAGGTCTGCTTTGCTCTCTCCTGTGCATGTTTTGCTAACTTGCTTGTCACCATCTGGTGCATCTAGCCACCTCAACGCAGAATTACACTTCACTCAACCATCACTAGTCTCCCTCTGGCCTAGATTTTTAATAGAAGCTAGCATTCTCCTAAAGGATTAACATTTGACCAAATTATTTCATTTTGTACTGCAGGCAACTGTACTGTTTTTCCACTGCATCCACTGAATTTTGAAACAAACTTTCAGTGGGCAAAACTCCCACACTTCATCCATTCTTCACATCTTGCCTGTCAGGTGACTCTGAAAGCTGCCCTTCTGAGCCATTCTTACTCCCAAGATATTAAGCTTAACAGCAATCATTTTCCCAAAGCAGAGGCTCAGATTTAGTCTTTTTTTATTTACTTGATGATGATATGTGTGGACATGCATGGTCTGCATGAACATGGAATCCCAAAGACCAGCTGTAACTCCAGTTGGTTTTGGCAAGTGCCCCCAGGATACTGGCACTGACCTCCAACAACTGAGGTACCTCTTAGCTCACTGTTCAAGTAAAACAAATAGGGATTGCTGCCAAAGGGCCTTATAAACATACAATTTAATCACAGAAAGGACTCTGCTCCTACATGATCCTCACTAGTCCATATAGAGTTCATTCTTGCAGAAAACGAACAGCCTCCCCGGGAACTACATTTTTGGGTATTACAACACACAAGCATTAATATGCACTTTCAATTCTTCCCATAATTCACTAGTAACACAGAAGGGACATTATGCTTCAGTGCTGTGACAATTCACATGTCCCTTGAGAAAATCACTGCAAATGTTACATTCCATGAGATAAATCCCAAATCCTACCAACATAGACAAGAGTTTGGCCTCTGGTTTGTTCCCCTTGTTATTGGAGAAATGATATAAACTGTCTCCTGAGGTATACACAGGCCTGTGCTGGAATGCAAAGAAAAAGTTTCAAAGAGATTTTGTTTTCTGAAAGAACAGTCTTTGCCACAAAGGAGAAGAACCACTCTAATCTGCACTCACTCAGGATATGTGAATCCACCCACTTAGTGCTGTACTATACAGTTACAGCTCAAACGGCAAGTGTCTGCAGCTCCCAATGCATCCACTTATGCTACAACTAAACCAACCGCGTGTCTTTTGTATCAATTTACCTAAAGAGCCCAAACAAAACAGAAGTTGGGGACTAAACCAGGTATTAGGTCAGGAACTGTCGCTAAAGCTGAGTAGGATCTTATCAAAACATTTGACTTGTCAGTGGATATGACTGCTGTGTAATGGAGTACAGAATATTTTTGTTGACAGAGCCAGTTCTCCACAGCCTGTATATAATTACTGCAGTTCTCTAGCTGGAGGCTTGGTAAATTCAGTAGACTGTTGCTACTGGAAAGAACATATCACAACAGAAACGAAGTAAAACTTTGATGATGAGCCACTTCCATTAAATAAAAATATCAAAAGCTACTATATTAGATTTTTTTTAAAAGCACTAGAATGCAATGTTCTACTTCACATTTTAATGTAAGATACACTGTTTGCTTACTCGTAGACAACCAATTTTCCATGTGAAACCTTTCTGTGACAATCCCCAGTTCAATACCAGAGAAGAACATATAGCACAAGTATAGTAAGTCTATTTTAGCCACATTCTTGCAGTCCCCCTCCTTGTGGTGTCCACCCCAGTACAACAGAGACTACAGTTTATTTACCTTTATCCCAGGGAGTCCAGGAAGCCCAGGAAGACCTGGTTCACCCTATACAGGAAAATTACATAATATTACAGACATTATTCAGTTATGATCACTATCCAGTGAACATCCCTGTATACTCTTCAGCAAGATAAAAGAGCATAGATGGCTGCTAGCCAGTTCAAGCAGGACGGATATTTTCAAATTGAGTAACTTAAATGTACAGTTAGTAAGAGTCATGTTAAGAACTGAAATATCTTCTGGGAACCTCTGATGTGAAGATGACACCCAGGTTGAAAATCCATGTCAGGAAAGTCAAAATTGAGTTCACATTACTCTTCACCAAAGAGAAAAAAACAAGCAGCGCTGATTCATTTTGAACACTGTCATTTCAGTTGCATACTTACGACAGATGTTTAATTCTGTTCCATTTTCAACTCTGAGCTAGATACTATGCTGTGTAGCTGTCTGATTTAGCTACAAAGCAATTCAGAAGAGCTTGGTTTAAATTGCGCAATTCAAGCAGGACTGCCTAATTATAACTGGGCCATCGTTTTTATAGAGCTATCTGTAGCATCATTTCAGTGCTTGCTATTTATCTGTGAATATACATGGTGTCATGAAGATTATTGTGGATGTAACCTTCTATTGCCTTACCCAGAAACACCTTGCTTATTTAAAATTGCAATGATAGACCTATAGTACTGCATTTGTAAGGGTAATTTTGTAACAGGAATTGAAAACTGAATGTATTAATTTTTAAATTAAGTTGGTAAGTTGAAGACAAGAATGACAACATGCACATGAATGGTCATTTTGCAGTATCAGCTAAATGGAAAGATGTTGTCTGGGGAAATAAAGATGATGAACAGGAAAAAAAAAAAAAAAAAGAGAAATAACATGTGAAGAAAACATTATTTTTAAGGTTGGAGATTTTAATACAGACATGGATTCTAACCAGCATGTTGGATCTGAATATTCCCTGAACTTTCTGGAAGATCAGGTCTGAACTCTGAAGCCAACTTTTACCTTTATAATGAGTTGAACTGTATTCCAGATTTTATACACTCCTGAGCTTTATAGAAATCCAGATTTCAACCCTGTGGTTTGAAATGATTCATACAGATAGTGCTACTAAAATATATTACATGTGTGTGCATATGCACACACATACATTCATATACTCATATATACATGTGTATACATACACAAGCATGAACACATGTATACATAATACAAATGTTCATCAGACTACAGTACCAAAACCCACTTCTTTGAGGCAGTAATATTCAATAGACTTGAAGTCCTAATACGAAATTACATTCTGCCACAAACTGAAAAACATAATAGAGGGTCTGCAAATCACTTTACCAAATGGAGTGATTTTTAAACGTTATAGAAGGATCTGATAACAACTTCTTTGTCCATTTCAGTTACTCCAAAATTTTAACTGTTCACATTGCCTGAAAGCACAGGAAAGATTACAGTCTCAAAATATTAACTATAAAATCAGATGAAAGAATAGAGTCTAGGATACCATTTTCAATACACTTTTTTTTTGTTTTTGAACGTTGCCTAATACTTTCTAAGGCAGAAAATATGTTGTCACTCTTGCAAAAGAATAACCTTTTAAAAGACCTTTGTTGCACTCATTCCTGACAAAATGCTAGCTCCAAAACCCTACTCCTCTGTCTTTCAGTTTCTTACTTGAGTAGCCACACAAACCACACTTCTACCGTGACCTTTTCTCATCTAGTTTTGGAAACACTGAATTTCACTTGTAAGTACAGCATTAGAATAACTGTAACTGATAATCTATTAGTACTGCTGCAGCAGGTCACTGTTTAGTCTTAGGACAGAGCTAACCTCCATAGACCCACACATAACAAGCAGAAAGGATCCAGCAAAGCCAATTCAGAGTCACAGTAATCTAAAACAATTTAAATGCCCCTCAAAGATACATTAAACAAGATGATACACAATGATATCACTAATGCTTCATTATAATTAGTATTGTAGGTGAATGAATAATATTTTATTTTCTGGACCTTTCCTTATACAAAATATTTGAGTATGATTTATGAGAAGTATGGTTTTTAAAGATACAAACGCTGGATACTAGCTACATCTCATAATGCTCAGGTTGGCAAGGCGGGTCGTTCTATCACCTTTGCAATACACACGGCACACAACAGCCTTGTCAACCCATTGAAATACCATCACATTTCATTTCACGTAAATAATATTCAGGTGGGCAGCTCTATCTGTCCTTAGAAGATGGATAAGGAATAACTGGAAGAAGAAGAAAAAAAGATATAAGGAAGGAGGGAAGATGGAGGAAGGAAATACAAATGGGAGACAGTAGGGGGGAAAGTATTGAGATGACATAGAGGGCAGAGACATGCCTCCAGTTGAAAAAAGGGTCCCTCACAATCTCTGGTGGGCTGAGGCACCCTGAATGAGCGCATTACGGGAGCTGCTGCTGTGGGCTGGGAACATGAATGTAGCGTACTGGAAGCTTGTTAGTTGAAGTGGAAAGAACATATTAAGCCCCATTTGGTGTGAACAACAAGCTGAGACTATAGAAACTGAACTGCGTACCTCTCACTTATCTATGTTACCTAAATGAGATCAAAGCTGAGCGCCTGGGGACTGAGATCCAGGAGCCTGCTGATAAATCACTGCTAGTTTTGCCTCCATGGCAGCCAGCTAATGAGAGTATGAATCTCAGCAGGATCACAAGTGCATTTTCTAGTTTATTACCCAAGCAAAACATACAACTGCAGAATGCACACACTGAATGATTCTGTGGATTAGATAGCTTTAAACTACTTTGATTACCTTTCGTAATTAAAACTGCATTTTACTGAAGAACTGCATTTGCAACCATAATAGCCTTTGTTTAGTCTGTTATAATTGATGATAGTTATAATTTCTCAACCAAAAAGATTTCACTTCTTATTTTATTTTATATGTGTTTTGGGGTTTTGCTTAGTCACCAAAAGACCTTGAGCATTAGAAAACAGTTGTACTGCCATTCACTATATAGAATTTTAGCTCTGGAATACCTGCTAGCTCAGCTGGCAGCTGGACTCTGCTCCACTCTGGCAGCAGTGGGTAATTTCAATGTTACAAGAGGCAAGAATGGTGCCGAAGCCTCCCACATGAAACCAAGTACTGCAAAGCAAAAATCTGGTTCCCTCATTGTCTCTTCTCTTTGTCCTTTCACCAGCTATCCCAGCAGCATCTGCCTCCTACTCTCATGAAAGGCAGCTGAAGGCACAGCATTCCCTGTGTTTGATGTACCATGGATTCAGAGAGGAAATTCCCCAGCTTCAGAGGGCCTCATGCAGCACAGTCATTACAGCTCCTGCTGGACCTTTACTTGCAAAAGCAGCCTCAGCCACAGAGCACCCAGGGGAATTTCTTCCCCTGGAAGGAAGAACAGAGCAGTGTTACCTGGTCTATGTCCTTCCAAAAACACCATGTGCCTCTGACAGTTTGATTCCCCTTACAGGTATATGTGAAAGGGATTCTAGTCAATATTTATTTTCTTCCTAATGAGATGTAATAATGTACCATAGTCTGAAGGTTAATATTCAGTCAAACATGCAGGGTTAATTTGTGATCACTCAAGGAGCAGAGCCGTCCTTTGTTAGCCTCACCAGCTGCAGTTGGGTAAGCTTTCAGTACAAAAAGTGTGCTGTGGTTAGAAGGGGAGGTGTGTTAGTCTAATACTGCTTTTCATGTTAATTAGTATGATCATTCCTGTGCTTTTTTAAAATACAAAATGATCATACACCAAATGTGTACAGGCCTTGAGCTGTTAAATTGTACTGCCTTGGGCTCATCCTAGTATGGGTAAGTGCCACTGATAACATCTCTAACATTGTTTATCACAAAGCCAACAGTGAAGAAAATGAAAACTGAACATTTCCAACCAATACCTTTTGACCAGGCCGTCCAGATTCACCAGGTTCACCCTAAAAGAAAAGAGATGAAAGACACAAGAGCTGACAAAATGTATTAAAAATAGAGCTGGGTAAAACCATAATGTTAATGGTACCCAAAATATCTGTGACGCTACACAGACCAACCACCCCTCTTCCCCCTGTACAACTGCTTTAAAACTAAATTACCTTAATTCCTGCAGCAGAAGAACCAGGGTCACCCTGACAGAAAATCCACAAGAAATAATCACACTTATTACATATACAGTTTTTCAGGAAACAGATATAACAAAACACGCAAGAGTATGGCAAGATTATATAGCTAAATAACTATATAGCAAGATTACCTGTTCTCTGTGCTGCTACATAGGAATTCACTCAATGAATTAAATCAGTGTGTTTCAGAAAAGGAACAGTACTGTTTTCAAGAACATGCAGAGAGATTTAGTTTCACTCATCCAAAAAACATAGTAGTTAACCTCAAATTTCACAACTAATAATGTAAATGTAATTGCAGATTTTGTATAAATGTACGTCATAAAACCAGAAGATGGAACACACTTTGACATCTCTAAATTGCTGATATACATTAAAAACAATTTACTGCCATTTACAAAGAATATGAGCAATCTTTTTGACCTAATTCTACAGATGGCAAGTGTCAGGTCTCAAATGACAAAGCTTTTTGTGCTAATGAACTTTCATCTTAAATAAAAACCCAGGTGACCTATGCGTGTACCCCCATCAGGACAGGTCATAGCTCTATTTCCCCAGGTCTTCAGCATACTTAAACTGGTATTTTAATGCAGTTAAGTGTTGTACTTTATAGGATGAGAAAGCTATAGTAATTTATGTACTCAGGAAAGGTCTCTGTTCTGAGGAGGAACCTAGCATCCAAAAAAATTGGTCTATATTTTGCTCGGTTGATTGGATTTAACAGACAGTGATATGCACAAGGGCAGAAGATCAGTGGGTGACGTAGCCAAGGAAGCTTTTAGCTCCCAGTTTTGTATAACTGTCATAGGATCCTTAAAATACTTCTATACTAACACCACATTTTTTTTAATGACATGCCAAACAAAAATGAAAAAACGCTCAATTAATGAAAAGTTTGCTAGTCAAGCTACATTCAGCTGAAGATGGCTAGAGTGCCTATATTTGGAGAACTGTCTCATTATTCATTATTCAAAATAAATTTGTATTGTTCATTGAAACTAACAGGTTGCTAAACAGTAGCAACTTCAAGCTCCCCAGCAGCCTGCTAATGATTTACATAGGTAGCACAGGAGCCAGTACTGCAATCCACTTTGAAGATGTATAAGTAAAGTAGAAATGCTTAATATTCTGTGTATTAAAATACAAATAGGGGATACCCATTCCTCATGGTTCAGTGAAGCTGCATGAAGTGTTCTGTGAATGCCATAATTTTAAAGTTGGTTTGGATATGGGGTCTTTCTGGTAACAGTCTCATAAAATTAAATGGTACCAGATAATATGCTCACTGCTCTTTGAAGAACAGGAATAGATTTCCTCTATACAGTTATTAGAGCTTGCTCTTGTGTCAGGAAAACACAAAAATCAGTATTATGAAGGGTTGATTAATGTCTGGAAACTTGAGCTGCCTCATTTTGATAGACATGCATGAGTGATACTGCTGATATCCCTTACAAGCATGTACAACTGCAAAACCTCAAGGACTTATTATAGCTATAAAGTGGCAAAGCAACTGGTAAGAAACATTCACCAGTTAAACATTTTAAAGGATAATGACGGATACAGGGAAGATAAGACACAAAGTATTTATAACCCACCTTCATGCAAGAATGAAAATTAATATGGGATTAAAGAAAAAATCACGGTGCAGCATGTTCTCCGCTCTCTGATGAGTCAGACAGTTTGGAAATGAAGAAACTTTATTGGGGAAACATACACACAGAAGGAAGATACTTGGTAGTTTCTAGGAACCAAGACTACAGTAGAAGAGTAGAAGCAAGAACTCAAGTCTGCCACTGACACGGTCTTCTAAGTAGGACAATTCAACAAATATGGTTTATTTCTTGTCACAGGTCAAGAAGTACACACCCAAGTCTATATTTATGAGAGCCACTAGATACAGCAGTTCAGAAGACAAAGCTACATTAACTGCACAAACAGGAACCCATTCCTAAACGAAGCCTGAAACTTGTCACCTGATCTCTTTCGCCATATATTAATAAATGAAAATTTAGTATTTATCTCACAGAAACATTACTTAAGCTTCTAAAGAAATGTTTTTAAGTTTTGTGAACTATGAATTAAATATCTGAAGCACATATGTAGCATTATGATCTAGTGCAATGGTCTCTGCATTTATTTACATAAAATTAATGGTTTTTTAACTGAGCATGAAGGGTTTGTACATTTATGTTGTTGAATACCTCAGAACTGAATGGATACTAGTCTTATCTCTGAATACATCCAGCAGCTCTCTTAAAACCAGCCTTAATAAGTTTTGCACTCCTTCCCACAAGTGTTCAGCTGGCAAAAACTTTCACTACTCATCAGGTAGTAAAGTTCCATAATGTAACACATAACCCAAACTTTACAGATCTACCCAAAAACAAGGCACAACTTGTGTAATAGGGAAAAACTATAACAGAAGAGATGTATAAATATAATGCATCAATAAGGCTGGCTGTGAAATTTGCTGGAAGTTCATTTCATCTGCCTCTTTTAAGAAAACAGACATAGCTTTTTAATGTTAATCTTCTGCCCTATAGAAAGCACCCACTGGAAAACACAGAAGGAATGCTACTGAGCTACTTTGAAGCCCTGAATTGTATCAGGGTTTACAGTCAAGATAAGTTTAACGGCCTCCTCAAGATGATCATGACACCAGTAGAGAAAGTGCACACACAATACAGAAAAAAATACAAATAAAAAATATATATTAAAAAAATCAAGGCTACTTTTTGAATATATTAATTAACTGTGGCTGTAACAGTTATTCTGATTTCCTCTAACACTTCTATCATTAGTGATTGGTGGGCAAATTCATGCTAGAATTATAAATAATGATCAAACAGCAAAAAATTCCCCTGATGCTGAAGAGCAGGCAAGAATATAGTCCTTGTTAAGTAGTACAAATGTAATGTAATGACACTAAGTTCAATGCTCACTCCTAAATCATCTGCCAAAAAACACGCTCCTAAGCTCCCTACAAAGTGCTGTTTGCAGAGTTATCTACCAGAAACTTTAAACTGCAGCTCTCTTATAAGATCTGGATCTTTTTTTCTGGGTGGCAGATTGTCTTACAGGCAGGAAAAAATGAGGAAAAACAATGGAAGTCAACTAAGTCACAGCTCTGCTCACTTTGTGGTAAAAATTAATGCAGTGGATTCTATCCTGTTACGGTTAAAGCAATGCACTCCACACGAACAGCATATATTCCCATGTCACCATCCGACCTCTGAAACTTGTATGAAAACTAGAAAAGATGGGAGACTTCTGTATTATGAAATTCAACAAGTTTATTGAAATTTCTTCAGATACAGCAATATAAGGTACCTTCCACAAGTTGATCCCAGCTAGACTGCCAAATTGTTGAAGGCCCACACAGAAATACTTAAAAATGTTATGCCTGGGGAGAAAGGATTTCCCACTGAAAAAAAGGAGAGAACTTTTTCTTTCCTTAAACAAGATCCCAAGCAGGGAGATGTGCTCACTGCGGACCACAGTGCAGTATGGGCATTCTAGTGGATGCAAGCTTGCTCTCACAGTTGATAAAGTAGAAAAGCAACAACTGAAGCTGCACTAGGCTTCCCAGAGAGATTAGAAACCTCTAATTTACCTGTTGCAGGACTATCTAATCTATCTGAACAATAATCTCTTATTTGCTAAGAGATTATATTCTTAAATCACATAAAAGTGGAATAAGATGATTCCACCAGCACACATTGTGTAATTAACTAAATAAGGTTCTTAACACTTTCATCTTGGGTAATATGCATGGCTGCAGATAAAGTATTATGTAAATTAACTCGGGGAATCAAATAACTTGACTATTCTTAAAACTAATGTCTGTTTTTAATCGCTGATTTTAGAATATGTCCCATTAAAACCTTCTGTTCTTGAAAGCATAGCTTTACTCTATCCAGATGATAGGACCTGAGAGATTTGCATGCATTCCTTACCAGCTTGATAAATCCATTATAAAATTCTCCGTGCACTAAACTGATGTGAGTTGGTTAAACAATTACACATACAGGGGTACAAGAAGAAATTTTTATGCTGCTGCCCAACTGTAGTCACTAAAATAAATGTTTTTAGAAGCATATGAGTTCTAAAGTGATGGCCAGAAGAGATCATTATGACTGACTCTTCTTCCTGTGCAGCACAGGCTTTGCTCTGACTGCTAAAGAATATAACTTGTTTAAGTAAAGCATGTTTAAAACCTCAAGGGTTTGTTGTTTTTTTTTTTTTTTCAGTGATACAGCATAAAATAAAACTGAGTAAAATAAAATTTTGACAGTCTACTCTTTAGTGACTTCTAGACATGTCAGTACTTTCCAACAATGAACTAACAACCATTAAGTGATGTTATTGCTGATGTCATCTGGCAAAAAGGTTTAAAACACAGTTTTTACCTTCAACTCTCAATTGCCCAGCTAGCAATTTGGAGGGAAGTTACCTGTCACGATACCATATTTTTTGTCCCATATTGGTTTGGTCCCTCTCTTTGAGGGAAACACAGAAGGGTAAATGTAAAAGGTTATATCAGAAATGGCTATAACTCAGCAGACCTAGTTCCAACACACAGGCAGGTCGCGACTGAAGTTTTGCATGATACAAATTTCAGCAAACAGAAGTCCTAATTAGAGACATTCTGATGTATCCTGTACTAACACTGCTGCTGTATAAAGTCAGGAACTTTATGCTTAATTGGACAGAACAGTGACATTTTTTCTGGTGTTCATAAAAATGAATTCAGTCTAATCATTCGGCATCTTTAAATAAAAACACAGCTTAAAATGCATTTTTCTTTTGATCAAATTATTATTTTCATTAGCTGGTTATACTGTAAGCATGCTTAAAGAATGAATTTTCTTCTCTATTAATAAGTAGCATACCTTTTCTCCTGTGTCACCCTTCGGTCCACTTTCTCCAGCATCACCCTGCAATTAAAATACATATTATATTTTAATGATTTTATGTAAGCACACAGAATGCCGAGAAGAGTCAGCATAGCAACATGATTAGCAAGCTAATTTTGATAATCAGGGAGTCGATCCCACTATGACATGGTCATGAATCATGGTCTATATAGCTGCTATGTCTTATACAGTCTTCACTACAACTGTAATCCCTTTCACAGGTCCTCAGAAAAACCCACAAACTATCAAATTACTACCTGTCAGTATAGTCTACAGACTCCCCCAGTTCAATGTGGTTTAGCAATGAAGGAATGTTTTCATGATGATTCAGCATTTTAAATTACCAGTACACATGGTTTTTTCCAACAAAGAGACATTCACCTAAATGCATCTAATCAAATTCAGGCAACAGTTACACAATTCCAATACTTTTTATTAGAATTCTCAAGTAATTTATGGAATATACTCTCAGAGACAGAAGTCCTTCATGAATGATTTACAAACTAAAAAACTTCATTGAATGCCACTCCTCTAAAGAGCCTCCAAAACTACTGTTATCTCTACATAAAGTCTATGTATGCATTGTTTATTGTTAAATAAGCAATGTTCAGATAACACTTCTTCATGGCTGGGTAGATACTGTCTACAACTTTGTAAAGAAACATTTATCTATAAAAAGACCCAATTTCTGTTTATATTCATATAGCCATAAAATAAATCCATACTACACCAAAAAGTCTTCATTATATATGAGACAACAGGCCAAAAATTGCTGTGGGACTTAAGGTTCATGTAAAGTGTAAGAAAAGTTTAAAATGCAAAAAATATTGGCAAATGTTGAGTATAAGAAGGGCAAAAAACATTCTAGTAGGTCTTGATAAAATAACCAGTAGTAATATTCAAACACCAACATTTATTCAGTATCTGTCATATTGCTCTGAAAACTTTAATGTAAAATTCCCTTCAGTGGACTTACAACAGAGACCATTTTGTATGTATTTTCAGTCACTGACACAATGGGAACTAGCTAACAATCTAGCAGCACTTTAATTAAGGGTTTGATGAAACACTGAGACATGAAATAGTAGCTGTTAGGAATGTCATCCCAAGTTGATGGCACATGAGAAAGCATATTGAGGGCATTTACAGTTACTTTTTTTAGGAAAAAACAAAGGGTGAATATGGAAAAATGTCATGATTTTAATAACAGAAATTCAGTAGATGTTAAAATTTATAGTTATTCCTTTTGTGTCTCAAAACAAAGGATTACTGAAATTCCTCAGCAATATAATTTTAACCAAAGAAATTATTTCATGAAACAAGATTTCCAGTTACATACTTTTACATGTGGGGTATACACTTTCAGGATTCCCCTGGATTATTTTTGGGATGTACTTTTCAAAACGTAGTGCCTTTTACAAGTGCCTTTTACAAAGTATGCTTCCAGCTGCTCTTACACAGATTTACAGAGATCTGGAAGTGACATTCAACTGCAGCTGCAAAGACATGGGTAAACATTTCTCAAGAACAAATTGCACCTGAATACAAGCAACTTACTTTTTAAAAACATGTCTCAGTGTAACTGCAGAAGATGAGGCTGTGTACAGATTCCTACTCAAAAGAAGGCTTATGTCAGTTCTCAAACCGCCCTTTTACAGATGCAGAAGCTTGAATCTCACTCAGTGTGTATTCTCAAAAGGGGGCTCCCTGGAAGAACAGAATTACACCCATATTTTGCAGTGTGGAGCTTGTTCTGCCCCCTCCTCTTGTCTTGGTGTGACTGTGGATGTCAGAGAAGTAACTCCTCGCTAACGCACTGCAAGTCAGAGCACCATTACTGTGCCACTTGTGCTGTTGGTACCTCTCCAGATAGTCTATAGCCTAAGATCACTGGGACAGATTCCCTTGCCCTTAAACTGATCCAAGCAAGAATGGACAACTCCACTTACAGTATGGGGAAAACTGGTTACCCATGTATCACTTAGAGCCTATGTAGTTACCTCTCTGTTACCTAACTATCTCACTCTGCACAGGTGACAGAGCACTGAAACCAAATTATGAGAAATGTGTGGATCTCTCATTTCTTCAGACAGGCTCATTTTTTCCTGAGACTAATCATAGTTAGGATTAGTTGCACAGTTGCTCAGCTGTGCAGCCTCTAACACATGACCACCGCTCTCTGTGACTAATCCCACTCGCAGTGATCGCAGATCAGTAACTTCCATTAGTAGGTATTATTTGACACTCGTAAAGGCTACACAATGCCGTTCAAGTTCTAGTTAGTAGCTGCATTAATTTCTTTTTAAACTCAGAATCAGGGCACTGGCAACTTTCAAAGCAGTTCTCCAAAACAGAACCACCACAAAGGTAGTGAAACATGTCTCACCTTTTCTCCTCTTTCTCCAGGGTCACCCTGATGAAAATAATTGGAACAAAGAAGTCATAAATTACTAACACAAGCAAGAATAAAAATTTTAGTATTACCATCATTAGTATAACAATTACTAACAATTATGTCACTACTGATGACATTGTCCCAGACGGTAAAATCCAACAAGAAAATCTTCAATAAAATAAGTAAATTTAACAGAACTCAACAGATATATATCTTCACCATAATTTTAAAAGCTTAATGATTTGAATGTAAATACTTTCCCCCCATTTTGTTCAAGATTAAACCCTGACAAAGAGGCACATGTCTTTGTGAAGTGGCCGGCCAGGATCTAGGTGACTCCTACATTTGGCTCTCCTTATTTTGGGAATGTACAAAAGGAAAATCCAAAGGCTGTATGTGAGGGGAAAGTCTTACGATTCTGTTAATGGCTTAGAAGGCTCATTGGGAGAGACAATATGCCTTAAGTGTCTTGAACTAATTCATAATTGATTCAGGGCGCAAAGAGCCTTCAGTGCTCCTTACATTCTCTGTAACAAAAAGATGACTTATAGCCATTATTTTTCAAAATTATAACTTGCTTGAGAAACTGGCTCAATGGCAAATGCACTTTTGCACACCAGCCTGACCTTGACAACTCATCTCTGCATTTCTGTCTCACAACTGCACTCTGGCTCATCTTTGCCCCTTGTGATGGCTGGCGGTCGCTAGGCAACTCAAAGACTACAGCTGTGAATACGAATTAAGCATCAACTGCCATAATTTGGCTTCTTCTGTATACAAAGTAAAAAAAGGTCATGCTCCCAAATGGTTTGTTTTCATTCCCGATGGACAAGCAGCCAGTCAGTAAATGTAAAGAGCCTGCCCTGCATGCCTGTCAGCAGCAGCGTGATACACAGAATCAGCTGAGGAGCACATGTTGACCAAAAACGCACGCTTGCAGCTGATGGGATTAGAATTTAGCATTACCCGTTCCACAAGGCTCACAGATCCCATAATTTCAGACATGTCAAGCTTTCTTTTAAATTATCGTAAGCTTTATGTTCTATTTCATTTGTTCAATATTAAAACAGCAGAACAAATTATTTAACAATTAAAAAAGTGCAAAGAGACATTCTGATCTAACAAATACAGGCCGAGACATGCTACTAATGAGGCTTGTTGCTAACTTCCACAATAGCAGAATCAGCCCTCAAGACAACCCTGACATTCGTCTAAGAATCGACCACAGTAGTTCTTGAAAAGAAGCCTGAAACACATTGTAAGGAGCATAAATAAAGCCTTTCTAAAAAGGTCCCCCAATTCCCAAACACTTGCAGGCATATTGCGTTCACTTGGCACTGGACGCATATGCGTCAGTGCCACTGACTGGAATTATACATGCACAGCAGAAGAATATGCTTCTTTATGGTGAAAAGTGTAAAGCCTCTTACAGCACTCATCACTGGAGAGAGCAGATCATTAAAAGCCAGTCAGAATATAAACCCAAGTTAGAAAGCATGACTGTCATCTATACATGCACTCATGTACTGTGTGCCTCTGTTTTTAATCCATTTCCAATACCAACCTTAAGCCCTGCTGCTCCCTTCTCCCCCACTATGCCAGGCAAACCAGGTTCACCCTAAATGCAAAGCAAACAAAAGATGTCATTAAGAAAGACATGAAGTATATTAACAGCATTTACCCTCCTGTCTCATATTGGGTAAGTAATGATAAACAAAATTTAAAAAGACTCTCTCAATATGTACTCTACAGTTGCGCACTAAAATGCTTTATTTCATCAGTTAGGGTGGATTAACTTTAATTAAATCCTGTATGGATAAGAAATAATACTACTGAAGGTGGTGGAAATACACAGATGTCAAACCAAACAGAACTGCAACTTCTGATTCTGAAAAGTTGGCCAATTAACCTTAAGAGCATTATCTTGCCAGCAAGACTGCAATGCTTTCCTCTTCTTTACAACCTAGGAATACTGCAAGAAAGGCTTATCTTAAATGATTTTGACATTTGTGCTCCTGGTTTCATATAGAAGGCAGATAATGAAGAAAAATGAGAAGGGCCCATTCCAGAAATTTAAGGGTTTGGAAGAACAGCCAACGTTTAATTTTATTTTTTTTTTTAATATACCTTGTCCATTTTTCACACTCATACTACTGGTTGAAAAGTAGACGTAAAAGATTTGAAAATTTTCAGAACCAGTGTTCCAAACTTTGGGTATGTTTTTTGTATACTGTGTATATACATTCTTTCACAGTTCAAGGAGTCATAAATAATCTTCATAAGTCAATCAACAAATAACAATTATTTGAGAACTTTTTCCCTCCCAAATCTAAAAATAAAGCCCCCAATTATATAAACAAACAAAAACCCCAAACCAAACCCTTAATGACATTTCCTAGTCTTTATTTCCCAGATTTACGGAAAAAACGCAGACACTATTTATTTTATGTAAAACGATAAAGCAATGGTTAGACTTCATTGTAAAACAACTAAGGGTGATGGCTAATTATGTAAACACTTCTGCAGATGTCTCAGTTTCAAAAGATATACCTATCTTCTTTGGTAACCCTCATGTACGCAACTGCCTCGCACTCCGAAAAAGCCTGCAACTAGGTTCTTCTAAAGCCCTTTGCTAAGTAAATGTGTAAAAATGTGTAAAAGTTAAATACAATAGCTAACATAGTAATCAAATTAGAAACAGTAATTCATATCAGAAACTCAGTGGACAATTTTCATACAGTATTCAAACATAGCAGACATGCTGAGCCAACTCTCTACTCAAAAGTTACAGAGTTAAGAGAAAGGCTTATTCCAAACACAAGTTTCTTCCAATCCTCCATACAAGCCTTCCATTAAGAAAGGACTTCTCTTTTTCTTACTTCCACAGTCTTATCTTAGTCACAGATGTAATAAAACTCCAGTTCTCCATGAAAGCAGGTTCCATTCTATTTCTAAATTAGGTAACAGGATCATCAATTACATTTTAATTTCAACAAGAGTTGGACTATTTCAAAATATAAACCAAAAGCATCGCGGTTCTAAGGCAACTTTAGTGAGTTATTTTCCAAGCCAGAGGAAAAGTGTTAAGTACCATTAAACTCACAGAGAGTTAAATAGCCATTTGATTCAGCCCTTTTTCAAGGCTTCTTTGTACTACAGTAGCTCTAGGGCTGATATAGTAGCACAGGCATTTGATATATTAGTGGTCGGGATTTGAAAATGTTGGGAATTAGGAGTAAGTGTCCTAAAGGACTGACCTAAAAGGCACTTGGAGAAAACTGCCAGTTGACAAAATGAAGCAGAAGGGACCAATGAATATGCACTTGTTTCTCCTCATCCCCACACCCCAAACAAGTTTGTTTCTGTCCTTTTCATTTTAAAACAGCTGCTGTCGGCTGACACTTTCAGGGGCTTAAATCTCTAATCAAAGGGTTGAATTCCCAAGCTTGCACTTTCCTTCCAGGTTTACATATCAGTGCTATGAATGCAGAGAGCTGCTACTGTGATGAAAAGACGACTGCAAAAATGGGACAAAAGAATTATCTTATTTTCTCTGGAAAAAAGTGAAAACCTCAGACTGTCCCCTAGTCATAGTAAATCCCTATTCATACCAACAGTCTCATTTCTGACCTTTATGTGACTTTCTTATGGCCAATACTACATTTCTGGCACTGAAAGTACTAGTCAGAGGCATTAGCACAGCAGAAATTAGCTCTGGGAATGGCAAACCTAGGACAGCACAGAAATGACCTTGTGGCTTTATGCTTTTGAAATTATTATCCTTCTGTTTCTAATGGCCAGAAGAACAGGGGCTAAAATAATTTTCTGTCAAACCTACAATATTCCCTTCCCTATTTTAGAACCCTACTTGCTTGTGCATACAAGGAATCAGGGAGTAATAAGACGAAATAAAAATGTGATGCACATAAGCCACGCTATATCCTACCCCTGGCGAACATTCCCAGTGCCCAGTGAAACAAGCTTTGTGCCAGGGAGCCTCACTTTTTCATATTGTATGTCTTGTAGGCATGGCACTCTGGGTTTATGTGTAGATTTTGCAACAACTTCATTAAAGGCTAACATAAAGAAACCCAAACAAACAAAAAACCCACACACACCCACCCCAACCCTTGACAGACCTCCCCATCGGTTAGGAAATTCCAAAAGAAGTTATGAAGCAAAACAGCCGCTAACATTTTGAAGGCAAGTAGATTGATAGCTCTTCTCTTGCTATACACTAAAATACTGTGTTAGTTTAGGAATATTGGTCTCTAAACCCGATTTTGATTCTTGGTATGAAAATAATTTAAAATACCTCTTTTAGGAAATATAGTTAATTACTTTCCTTCCATTTAGTTATTTTATTTATTTATTTATTAATCAAAGCATTTATTAAAACTGGAGTGCAAAATGCTGTATGAGTACAATTCAGCCCCACAGGGTAGTTTTTGGAGAGGAACAAAAATTATAGCTTGCCCCTTAAAAGGCTGAAGACAGTTACACTCCTGTTCAAAGGAATGATGCATGCAAGGGAAAACTAGACGCTCAATAATAGTCATCTGATGCAATAATTTCAATCAGACTGCTTTTCTACTTGATAAAATGAAAGAAGCTATAAAACTAGATCCCTAATCTCACACATTTTTTATGTTCACCAGGCCATGGCTAATGTCTTTCCTAAGTCATATTGCAGTCTCTAATAGCACTGACGGAAAAGGTGTTAGGCTGCAGAAACAATTGCCTTCTGCACATCATCTAGCTTTCAAATTGAGGCAGCATTTTTTTGTTTGTTTTCTTTAGCAGAAACACAGAATGGATGAGGTTGGAAGGCACTTCTGGAGATCACCTGGTCCAACTCTCCCTGCTCAAGCAGGGTCACCTAGAGTTGCATGTCCAGGACCATGTCCAGATGGCTTTTAAATACCTCCAAGGATGGAGACTCTACAGCATCCCTAGGCAATCTGTGTCAGTGCTCAGTCTGCCCCACAGTAAAAAAAGTGTTTCCTGCTGTTCAGAGGGAACCTCCTGTGTTTCAGTTTGTGCCTACTGCCTCTGCCCTGTTACTGGGCACCACTGAAAATAGCTTGGGCCCATCCTCCTGTCACCTTCATTTCAGGTGTTTAACCACACTGATGAGATTCCCCCTGAGATTTCTCTTCTCTAGGCTGAACAGCCTCAGCTCTCTCAGTGTTTCCTCATAAGGAGATGCTCCAGTCCCTTACTCATCTTTGAGGCCCTTTGCTTGACTCTAGTATGTCCATGTCTCTCTCGTACTGAGGAGCCCACAGCTGGACACAATACTCCAAGAGTGGCCTCAGCACTGTTTTTTCCCATTTAAAGAGTAACTTTGTCTATAGTACATCTGCTTCTAGATCACAGATTGCCTTTCTGCAGTCATGAACTCCTGAGAAATCATCATTCAGAGACAGAGGAACTGGAATCACTAAGACATAACATGTTCTAAAACCTTCTAGTGCTTATGTAAACCACAGCCCATGATCCCAATTAAAATTACAGTGAGGGCTACACTGCATCCTCACAGAAGAAAAAGATGAAAGACCCAGAGAAACTGTTTGAAGCTACCCTCTGAGTATCCCCTTGGAACTCTTCTCTGAAGAGTTCCCTGTGTGGACGATGTTGTGGGGAGCTGTGAAATGTCTCAGTACTTAGTTTAAAGGAATTGTCACTAGCCCTTTCTGCAATTCTGCATTCTTATTCTCAGGTAGACCACACCACAGAAGCTGTGCGGTGCAATGAATATCATATGGGACAACCGTGATATACCTTAACAAAAATAAATTCTCCATACAGGCACTGAGATGGGCCATGATTTCCACATACTTCCTCAGCAACATGGGGCTTAACTGACACCATGGCTGACAGAGAAATAATCTAGTGGGATCCAGCATCTGAATATACTTTCTATCAAGGTTTTGCTGTACTTGTAAAAGAAGTAACAAAACTACCAGATGCACAAATGTCATGCCACAAACTGGTAAACCTGCAAATATTGCATCAGAAATACTCTTTAGATAGCCTTTGACTTCTGTTTCACATAAATTAGTTTTTTCTTGTCTTTGAGTAACTGGACCAACCCCAATGGAAGGATTCTGTCGTCATGACATGACCTACTACACAAATAGACTATAAAATATTAGAAAATGTTAGAAAAGCTTCATTTTCCCAAATTTCATGTAAAAACTATGTAGTACTAGAAGGCAATTCCCTAGCCCCTTGTCTACTGCAGAAAAGGACACTTCCCCTAGAAGATTTGTAAGCATTTAAGTCCCCAGTTATTCACCACCAGCATCCAAATTTATTCAGATCCAGTTTGCTGAATTCACAAATGGTCTCAGAATGGTGGAATTAAGATTTTCCAGTAAATATGCTATTGTCCTTTCACTTACCCAAAATCAAGCAGCTTAACTCAGCAGGAGCGTAAATGTTCCAGTAATTTATCTGATGACCACTTACACAGAAGACACACGCACAGTGGCGTTTTTTTGCTATTGTTTCTATGCTATAGAGAAACTGTAGGATCCCTACCACTGGAGTAATGACAGTGCATTTTCAAACAGACACGTTGCAATACTGTGTTTGCTGTCAGTAACAGGAAAG